ATGGAGTGCACCACATGGCCTATTTATCCCTCCTTCCTGGTCTCTTCTTGGCTACAGCAGGTCACCTGGCCCATGGCCTATCCCTGTGCTCCCTGCTGGTAGCCCCTAGGTATGAGTCATCACTCTTGAGGTATGTCCTTGGCCTATAGAGGGCTATTGTTCCAGAGTTTTGCTTGTTAGCATGTCCATAGGCTGAGCTGCTTTGCCCATAGTTCAACCACATGCAGAGAAATATTCAATATCCATACAAAGTACATGCTTATAATTTCACACACAGGGATTATACAATCACATGAACAGCATACAGAGGATTAGCAGACAGTAAGGGTAGGTCTACACTACCACCCTAGTTCGAACTAGGGTGGTTAATGAATTTCCCGGGCTTCATTGGCAACTCCGGTTGCCTACATTAACCACCCTACTTCGAACTAGGGTGGTAGTGTAGACATACCCTAAGCTTCTATTCAACACCTCACATGGCCCCCTTTTATACCATTTTTGGGGCCAACACACCCCTATGGGTGCAGCAGTTATCTGGCTGCTCCCCTCAAAATCCAGTAACGTGACACAGGCATATTAGCAATAAGAGAATGATCAGAGAGGGTGTGGGGCCCTTACTGGATGGCGGAGGTAACCTACTAACAGATGATGTGGGAAAAGCTGAGGTATTCAATGCTTTCTTTGCCTCTATCTTCACAGACAAGGCCAGCTCCCAGACTACTGCACGAGGCAACACAGTATGGGAAGGAGGTGAGCAGCCCTTAGTGGGGAAAGAACACGTTAAGAACTATTTAGAAACACTAGATATACACAGATCCATGGGTTTGGATTTAATGCATGCGAGGGTTCTGCCCTGGCTGGGATTATTTAGTTAAGATTGATCCCTGCTTTGGGCAGGGAGCTGGACTCAATGATCTCCTGAAGTCTCTTCCAGCTCTATGATTCTATGATTAATTCAAAACAGACAGATCAGAAGTGGTAAAAGTCCTGAGAAAGACAAAGAACGTGCTTAGAGGCTGAGAGAAGAGAAAGTTACTCATCTGGTGCAGTAATGACAGTTCTTTGAGCTGTCTGTCCCTGTAGATGTTCTGTTGTTGGTGTTAGGTCATCCTGGTGCCACAGATTGGAGTTTTCAGTAGCAGTAGTCACCTGGACAGTGCATGCACAGTGGACGCCTCATGCCATTCGCATCCTTTGGCTCACGCATGCAGTCCAGCTCCTGTCAGTTCTTTGTGCCCATCCAAGTGCCTGAAAGACATAATTAAAGACCAAAGACTCCAAAGCGGGGAGGAGGGCAGGTAATGAAGCATCCACGGGGGGACACCTCTCAAAGATCCATCATTACTGCACCAGGTGAGTAACTTCCTCCTCTTCTTCAAGTTATGTCCTTGTGGGTGATCCACTGTTGGTGACTTCGTAGCAATACCCAAAAAACACATGGAAGGTGGGTCTCAGAGTCATGGTTTAACAGCTGTTGAGAGTACTGCTGAGGCTACTGCAGTATCATTAGTTAAGTGCTGGGAAATTGCATAATGCCTCATAAAAGTATCACTGGCAGACCATGTGACCGCATGGCAGATGTCTTGGAGGGGAACCCCTTGGAGGAAAGGTGTTGATGTCGCTATGGCTCTTGTAGAATGAGCACTAGGTATTCCCAGAAGTGGCTTATTTTGGATGGCATAACACTTCATAATGCATGAAACTATGAATCTGGAGATGCGTTGAGATGAAAGCGGTTTACCCTTTGATCGGTCTGCTAAGGAAACTAGCAAGCATTCTGACTTGCAGAAAGGTTGAGTTCCGTCTATGTAAAAGGCAAGTGCTCTATGCACGTCAAGGGAATGAAGAGCAGCTTCCTGTTGGGATACATGCGGCTGGGATAGAAGGATGGGAGGATGATTAGTTTGTTGATGTGGAAGTTGGAACACACTTGGGGGACTTGGAATGGTTTCTTTCTGTGCCTTCAATAAGGCTTCTTTAAAATACTGTCAGCTCCTTTCCCCTTCATGTTAGCATCCCAGGGGATTCTGACCATCAGGTCTCTAAGGGAGCTGAAATCTGCTTTTCTGAAATTCAAGGTGTGTATTTTACTACTCTCTTTTCTTCCTTTGGTCAGGATCCTGAAATCTACCATCTCATGATCACTGCTTCCCAGGTTGTCACCCACATCTACTTCCCCTATTAGTTCCTCCTTGTTTGTGAGCAGCAGGTCAAGTTGTGCACAGCTTCTGGTCGGATCCTGCACCACTTGTACCAAGAAGTTATCCCCAACATTTTCCAAAAACTTCCTGGATTGTCTGTAGATGTTAGGGTGATTAAAGTCACCCATGAGAACCAGGGCCTGCGTTCTGGAATCTTCTCTCAGTTGTTTGAAGAAAGCCTCATCTACCTCATCCACCTGATTCGGCGGCCTGCAGCAGACACCAACCACAACATCACTGCTGTTGCTTACACCTCTAAACTTGACGCATAGACTCTCAACACGCTTTTCTCCCTCTATATATTGGAGTTCTGAACAATCATAGTGCTCTCTTACATACAGTGCAACTTCTCCTTTTCTCCCCTGTCTGTTCTTCCTGAGCAGTTTATACCCTTCCATGACAGTGTTCCAGTCATGCGAGTCATCTCATCAAGTCTCTGTTATCCCAATCAAATCGTAGTTCTTGGACTTGGCTAGGGCCTCCAATTCTTCCTGTTTGTATACCAATGAGAGAAGCCTGGGTAACAAACACCTTAGATAACCAGTTGATTGCCCTACCCTCTGCATTCGAATCAGGGGTCCATCTTTGTTGCTTGTTCCTCTTTTCATTTCTTCCCAGTATCCAACTTCCTCACTCCCCTCAGGGTTTTGGTCACCATCCCCAAATGAACCTAGTTTAAAGCCCTCCTCACTAGGTTTGCAAGCCTGCCCGTGAAGATGCTCCTTCCTCTCTTTGTTAGGTGGATCCCATCTCTTCCTAACAATCCTTGTGCCTGGAACAGAGTCCCATGGTCGAAGAAATCAAAGCCCTCTCTGCGACATCACCTGCACAACCACGCATTTACTTCCTCAGTAATGTGTGATGGATGAGTTGGCATGGAGGTTGATGCCAGTGTCTGTTATCGCCAATGCCAGTGCTGATGTTTGTGGTGCTGGAGTTAGTGGTGCTGGTACTGGTGCTAAGTGGTTAGATGGCATCTCCACTATTAGCACCGATGATGTTCTGTGCTGTGCTTTTGGTTACGGGGCAGTGCAAGATGATCCAGGTTTGTCCCCCGTGCTAACCTGACTTTTTCCAAGTCGGTGGGAGATAGCGCACCGGCAAAGCCCTTTTCTTAGCAGGGCATGAGTTTGGAGAAGTGGCTCTCTGCTTTTCAGCCCTGACAGGGTCTCACTGGGCAGAGGACATTGCAGAATCTGATGGCTGAAGGGCTTTGTTGAATAGGAGTATACGTAATCACATTTCCCTATCTCAGCATGCTCTCGGTGTCAGCTTGGAGCAATGCCAACATTTTTTAGGTACATATGCCTCACCAAGGCAGAGTGTCAGTCAGATGCAGGCATGGGCTTGCGACAAGTGTCACACTTTTTGAAGCCCAGAGAGCCTGGCATTGTGAGGAGTCTGCTTTATCACTTATTTTATCTCTTTCTTTTCTTTCTATCTTTTTTTTTAAGCTATGGTGTATGAACAGCCAATAGTAACCGTTTTAAAGTTTTTTTTTTAAATAAACAGAACAACTAACTACTTAATTCTATAAAAGCGGCAAGGAGTCCTGTGGCACCTTATAACTGAAGTGTAGGAGCATAAGCTTTCGTGGGCAAAGATCCACTTCGTCAGTTAGTCTATAAGGTGCCACAGGACTCCTCGCCGCTTTTGCAGATTCAGACTAACACGGCTACCCCTCGGATACTTAATTCTATGTTTACTATAAATAACTGGAAAAAACTACAACACAGCACAGCATCATACTCATCCAGCGACCCACCCTTGCAATCAACCCTTGTGCCAACTCTATCCATACATCTATCCCAGCAATATCATCACAGGACCTAATCACATAAACCACCACATCAAAGGATCATATAACTATGCATCCATCCATTAATGTGATATATGCTATCAAATGCCAGCAATACCCCTCTGCCATATATATTGGCCAAACTGGACAGTCTCTATGACAAAGAATGGACATGAATCAGATATCTGAAAAGGCAACACACAGAAACCTGTTGGGGAAAATTTTAACTTGCTTGAGTACTCATTAACAGATCTCAAAGTCACCATACTGTTTCAGGGCAATTTCACAAGCCAACTCCACAGGAAGGCCTCAAAGCTGAACTTAATTTACAAGTTTGATACCTTCAACAGAGGTATGAACAAAGACATTGGGTGGATGGCTTGTTACATTCCACATCTTAATGACATAAAAAACCAAACAATGGGTACTTAAGAACACTTAGCACCTTCTCTGTCAGCTTCACATTGACCTTTTCCCCCCTTCTTTTTCCTTCTCTCCTCCCTACATCCGCTACTTATTTAGAAACAGGACCTTTAATAACTCCATTCATCTGAAGAAGCGGGTTGTGCCCATAAAAGTTCTTATCATCATCTACATGTTTTGTTAGTCTCTAAAGTGCTGCAAGACTACTCATTGTTTTTTAAATTTTTCCTATGACATTTACTTTAACAGGATGTTCCTGGGGAAAAGTATCTTAGAAAAAGCCTTACATTATACACTTACATTAATAATTCTGGCAGATCAACCAGAGGTTCTCTAACAACATATTACCTCAATATTCACTTTACCAACGCTAGTGAGCTCTTGGCCCATCTTCACATGTGATAGATGCAAAATTCACAAAGTGAAACTTAATGAGACAAGAATTACTGATGTATATAATGAGACTTGCCAGTACTGTTACAAGCTTCAGTGAGATGGATGAGCTTGTTGTGTGCACAGAATGTCAATTTCTGAGAAGACAGATGAAGCAATGGTCAATAGCAACTCAAAGGACAGACCTGATGCATTGTTTCAGCTGCTCCATCATTCTGGGTCTGAGTAACTCCACACCTTGCATTAGGCTGTCTGCTCCTTTCCCCCTTTCCGCCCCTTGAAGGAACAGAGGCCCCCCAAGGGAAGTAGTTAAGCAGTCCAGAAGCCACTTGTTGATTTTGAAGAGGGAGAAGATAACAGAGAAACTCCACGTTTTACAGACGATGGAAGAACAGGGAGCAGACAAGATCCAGCACCAATGCTCTTCTAACACACTGAGCAGGAGGAGAGGAGCAGGAATTGCTCTGCTCCTACTTCCCTTCTTTTGAAAAATGGAGTGGTTCCACTTCCTCCTCTGAAACAACTAGCCTCACCTGGGCCACTTAGCTCCTTCTCTAACAGGACCCTCTCCACTCCTTCAAAGAGAAGGATGGAGGAGAAAGATTCAAAAAGGAGCAGCTGGGAGGCTGTTTGTTTTCCAAATATGGAGCGAGCCATGGAAGCAACAGCAGCAAACATGTCCATCCTAAGTGGAAAAGGGGAGAGAAAAATAGAAAGAAAAAACAAATTCATGGTATTGTTTCTGGGGAAGTGTCCCATGGTTGCTGGTCCCTTAAAGGGGAACTGAGGCCTCAGTCTCCCTCGTGACTATATCAGCTCACCTCCAAAGGTACTTGTGACAGGGTGCGGTCACAGATGACCCCTCGGGGAGGGGGGGGGCTCCCAGGGTGTTGACATGGCCACTGCCACTCGCCTTCCCACTCTCTGGGGCTCCTCACCGCCTGGTCCTGCTGGGACAGCTCCACTGGTCTCAGCCAAAGCCCAGAGCTGAGGTCCTTGCCCCCCACCAAGAAGCAGTACAGACACTGAACCACTTCAGGTCCATAGAGAGTGCAGTTCAGGGCCCAGCCTCCTGAGGTAGCACTCCCCAAATGGGATCAAACCCCAAAGAATTAGGTCAGCCACCTTTAAAAATGAAAGGGGGAATGTGCACACTGGTTACCCCCCCAAGTAACAATTACTTACACTGGGTCTGATAGAAAATAAAAATGATGTTATTAAGTAGAAGCAGTAAGATTTAAGTAGTAATAAGTGAAAACAGGCAGAGCAAGGTAGGTTACAAATCAAAAGAAAAAAAATGATTGGCTAATTTTACACTAAAGCCTCAGTACAAACTCTTCAAACTTACCCTAAAACCTCTTTTCCAGCTGCCACTCCAAACCGGGGCCTTCTTCCCCACCCTGGGGTCTTCGGCTCCTGTCCTTCAGTTGCAGCCCAGCCAAAAGACCCAGGCCTCTCCTTTCCTATTCCTTTTGTTAAGGAGTTGAGGCCACTCCCTACCATCCACTGTTTAAACTTAAGGACAAAAGATTGTTTAACAGTAGCTCATCAAGAAGTTGCGGGTAACACCCTCCATGTCTCCCATTCACACATTTGAAACTCACAAAGTATTCCCCACTCCATGAGTCTAATTTTACACACACAAATGATACATACAACAGAGTAAGATAAACAGAACGAGCAGATTATGACATGAAGATTGATGGGTTACACAACATAATTTGCTCAAAGCACCTTTCAGTTATGTAAATGTGTGTCCATAAGTCCATTTCAAAAAGCATGGGGAGGGGGAAGAGGGGTCCCGTCACAGTAGTTATGATAAAAGAAGCTTATGTGATTAACTCAGACCAAGCCCGGGGGAGATGACATTCCAGGTAAGAGGCTTGGGGTTGCCAGCCAGGAGAAAAGTCTGGGAAACTAGAGCTGATTTGAGAAAACCCATGGGGGTGAGAGCTGCAATAAGCAGGAGGCTCCTGTATAAGGTATGAGCCTAAAACAACTCGCCAACCAGGAAGGGGTAGGAGTGGCAGCGGGGACAGAAGCCTGGCAACAGTTACCAAGATGGCAGGGACACTGAGGAGAGATGAGAAGAAAAGCGTAAGAGGTCGGTGTGACGGACCGGGCCGAGTCTGGGCATGGCTGAGGGCGTCCGCTCAGGGCAAACTGCTCAAATTAGGGTCTCCTTACAACCCCTGACTGGAGGCCCTTCCCAAATAGGCCACCCACCAGTCACACAGAGCACTTCACCTGCCAGTCTGGCCAGCCAGAAGTCTCACGAGCAAAACCCCTCCGATACTCTAGCTCTTCCCATACCCAATCAGCCCCGGGCTTGCATACAGGTGAGAGGTTTTAGAACCCAATCTCACCTCCCCCGAATGGGTTCTTCTAGTCCCAAGAAATCAGCCACAGTCCCCAGGTCAATTTATACTCTGGATCTTACCACAAGATCACGCTGAGCCAATCCTTTAGAATCTAAAATCTAAAGGTTTATTATTAAAAGAAAGAAAAGCAAGAGAGTAAGGTTGTTAAAGAATAATACATTACATGCTTCGAATCACCCAGGGATGGGTCCACAGTTCTTTCCGGCTCGTGGTTTCCTGCATTGGGGATCAGGAGAAAAACTGAAGGCCAAGATGGAGGATCCCATATGGCACTTATATCTCTCTCCTAGCATCTTTCTGGCCAGAGAAGGTCACATGGTCCAACAGCCTATCCTTGTGTCCCAAGTCAGCAACCATTATTGTGGCTGGCTTGCAGATATCCAGGCATTCCTTCAGGTGTTTCTCTGGCATGTAGAGATTTAGCATAGCCATTGGCTGAGCATTTCTTGCCCAATACTCAGCCACAGATAGAGAATTTTCCAGCATCCCTACGGAGTACATGTTTATAACTCCACCTACAGATATTATACAATTACATGAAGAGCATATACAGAATCAGTAGAACGTAAGCTTTTGTTTGACACTTCACATGGCCCCCTTTGTACCAACTTTTGGGGCAAACACCTCCCCCCCCCCATGGGTGCAGCAATGATCTGGCTGCTTCCCTTAAAATCCAGTAACATGATAGTAGGGCTGCTGACCTCCCATAGCCTGAGATTTGACCAGGTTGGCTGGGGCCTGTGAAAAGACTCCATCTAGAAAGGGCTGGGAGTTGCTTTATTTTGAGGATTATATTGAATTACCTGTTAATTAATGTGGACCCCAGAAAGGGATGTTATTGGCTAGAAACCCTTTATGGCCTATAGGGAAAACTGAAAGAAATAGTCTTGTTTACTTTAAAAAAGAGAAGGCTGAGAGGGGACATGATAGCTGTTTTCAAGTATCTACAAAGGTGCTACAAGGAGGAGGGAGAAAAATTGTTCTTCTTGGCCTCTGAGGATAAGACAAGAGGCAATGGGCTTAAACTGCAGCAGGGAGGTTTAGGTTGAACATTGGGAAAAAATTCTTAACTGTCAGGGCAGTTAAACACTGGAATCAATTGCCTACGGAGGTTGTGGAATCTCCATCACTGGAGGTATTTAAGAGCAGGTTAAACAGACATCTGTCAGGGATGATCTGGATGGTGTTTGGTCCTGCTGTGAGGGCAGGGGACTGGACTCAATGACTTCTTGAGATACTTTCCAGTTCTCGTATTCTATGATTATTTCTGTGAACTCGAACAGAAGGGGCAACTGAGGAATGTGCGCCAATCCCATACTAGGCCATAAGTGGGCATGTGGAAGTGGCTGATCCTGCTACACTAGCGCATTGGGGGAGATTTAATTATTGTTTTCATAAACATTAAGGTCTGAAGGGACCATTCGATTTCTAGTCTGTAGATTTTCAAATGACAGTGCTCCCATTACCCAGCTCTGTACCATCATTCTGCAGGTGCTTGGCCTCTCCTTCCCATCAGAAAATTCTCTCACTACACATGATTTATGTGGCCAAAGAAAAAAGAAGCAACTTGGGCTCTGTCTGTAGGTCAGACTACTAGAGGCACCTTTCAGTCTGTCCTGGGTGCCCCAGCTTAGCAGCTGTGTGCTGCTGAGCTGTGACAGCTAGAGGGGAGTGACTAGGAACAGATAGGCTCTGTTTAGAGTAGGGTTTCCCAACCTATGAGTCGCCATTACATTTCAAAAGGTTTGCCAAGTGTCTCCTCAGGTGGCTCTGCCCCCTTTCCTCCCCCCGTTTTTGAACTGCCTTGCATCACCAAGCCTTCCTGAATTGTCAAAATAGGTCCCCATCTGGAAAGGTTGGGAACCGCTGGTTTAGAGGAATGAAGGGTCATTCCTAGGGGAGCTACCATGGAGAAGCAGGGTCTTGGCAGGAAAAACAGGTGATAGCCCACCTGGGAAGATATGTGGGCTGATAAAGAGGCTGTGGACTTCTGTTGCTGAGGTCTCTGTCATGGAGAGGGGGCACTAAAATGTCCCAGGATTTGATATGGTTGCCCTCCCCCACACCCTGTGAGACTGGGAAGCTGCCTTGTGCTAAGGACTCCTCACCCAGAGCTGAGCCTATGAGATCAATGCACAATTCCTTCCTCCTTTGCCCTACCAGCTGAATCCTTGTTGAGGGGAGGGCCCTGCAGCTTGCAGGTCATATGCAATTTCCCTGCCATGGCCTCTGAACTCGGCACCATCTGGCTTTCCCTGTGGTGAGGGATGTGTGTATGAGACATGAATTTTTAAAAGGAGAATGCCAAAAGGAGCAAAAGAAGCTGGTGAACCTTTGAACTAGTCTGACTTTTATAGCATGGCCATAGACCAGGGCTGGGCAAAATATGGCCCTCAGGCACACCGCTGCCAGTTTAAAACAGGGCTACTCAACTTTGGAAGCCCCAGGGGCCACAATGATACTCACAGCAGATGCCCAGGGCCGCCAACTTAACGGTGGTTGCATATACGTGCAAATATATATGCAAATAGCTTTTCACACTGACAGCCATGCATACAAATATTAACGCAAGACTACACAAACACATGCCCCATTTAAGTCAGTTCTGCTGATATTACTAAATTGCAATATTTACCTGATTTTCACCCATACGACAGCACTTTTAATAAGCAATGACAGTCCAGGAATTTAACCATTAAAACGCATATCAACAGAAGACCATTATATTGACTACTTTTTTGTTTTGGCTCCTGAACAAAGGCCGCATATTGAGCCCCGTGTAAATCCAAACCGCACCGCAGGCCGCAAACAAGCAGGCCACGGGCTGCATATGGCCCATGGGCTGGGTGTTAAATAGCCCTGGTTTAAAACATAGAATCATAGAACACTAGAACTAGAAGAGATCTAAGGAATCTGGTGGAGAGCAGGATACTGAAGGGAGTACGGGTAGCATGGGGAGTCTGGCATCTTCAGCAGGGATGATTGATTCTGGTGCAGACTTTCCCATTGTAGCCCTACTTCCTGTTACAATCTAAAGAGCCCAGGTTACACCTTGCAAGCCCTGAGAGGATAAACTTCTCCCTCTGCTTAACTCTTATCTTTTCCATCTCCCTGTGCACCACCAGGGGAAACACGGAGTAGGCAAGGGGAAACCTCTCCTTGCACTAAATGGCAACCCAAAAGCAGACTCAGGGGGGTGGAGGAGTCAGTGAGGAGAATCTCTGTTTAAGTCCCTGCAGCCTGTGACGTAGTGGGGGTACTTGCTGGGATGTGGTGACCTCTGCTGTCTGGAGCAAGACCCAGCAGGGAAAACCTCACTAGGCCAAGGTAATGCCAAACTTGTTGAACCAGTGGCCAGACACCCCCCATGGAGAGGAACAAAGGAAGGTGGAATGCTGCCCTGACTGGGGGGCAGGGCTGGAAGTTGGTTAGTTGGTTGGTGGCTGTCTGTGAGGATGGATGAGACAGCCTAGGGAGAGGAGCTGGAGTTTAGGGGCCCAGTCTCCCCCCAACTCAAGGGGGCCTGAGGCATCCTAGCCCAGCTCTGTGACCAGACTACATCTGTGCTATGCTGTATCCTGGAGAGGCAATAAACTTCCTCTATTCCACCGGCTGGTGCAGTCTGTTTGTGCCATTTCGGGGTGCAGGAGACGGGGAACCCCCAACGCGCCGTCACACAGCCCATCTGACCTCAAGAAGGATTTTAGCAGAGAGGTTCCCAGCCACTGGCATATTCTTAATTCCAGGACTGTAAACAGAAGTGATTCCTAATTCAAAACCTTTCCCCCAAACAGAACCAGGCCCCAGAGTTTGAAAAGTCTGCTCTAGATCATATATTAAATGGTTTTCAACTGTTTGTAATGTGTAATTTTTATAATAAAATGTTTCCTAATATAAGGGACTCAAACAAATCAAATATCTTAGGCCTCATACTTCTCTCTCCAGTTTTCCCCATTGTCACTCAACTGCCCTCAGTGGAAGTGAATATGATTAAACCTGGTGTAAGTGAGGG